TTTTTTATGCATATGATTTAAATTTGATTTTTCTCACTAGATTGTGAAATCATTTTCTATTTCTGCTGATTTCAGTTAAAAACACATCCAAAATATTTCAAAAGAAAATCTTTGAAAACTTGGTTTTCAGCCATTATAGCTAAGTTGGTATTCTATGTTTGTCTCAAATGTTCATTTATCAGTGAAAGGAAATAAATTTACTGTCATCCATAATCAATATAACCTTTTCTGGCCTCCACCCTTCTAGTGTTTTATTTAACTGAAAAAAGTGGCCAAAAACTATTGGCAAGACTTCAAATTTTCTTTCTTTATTTTTGAACAACTTCTGTCGGCTACTAAGAACTTCCAAGTCCCATTCTGGGTATAATGATAAGCTACAATTGTGTCCTGGGTAAGATGATAAACTATGTCCAGCAGCAAGTTCTCTGATCGGGTGGTTTTGGGGAGGGTGGAACCACTTCTTAATTGCTGGTGTTCCCAGGTCCACCCTGGACTGGGGTGGTGGCACCTGTTAGGGTCCCAGTTGTGGGCAAATAGTTAACCCCCAAAATGGGATCAAAACATTATGAAATTGTAAAAATAGGTTTTAATACCAGGAATACTTTGTACAAAAATTACCAGCAATAAGTTTTTTGAAGAAAAAATTATTACCAGCAATACTTTTTTGAAAAAAAAACAAAATTACCAGGTAGACATTTCTGGTAAAAAATATATATATTACTAGCTATACATTTTTTGAAAAAAAATATTACCAGAAATAGATTTTTTAAAGGAAAAATATTACTAGCAATACATGTTTGAAAATTTTTTGAAAAAATATTAGCAGCAATACATTTTTGTCGGCATTAAATAACCGATTGTGGTTGATATGCCATAAAACAAAATAAACCAAACAAATGTAAACCAAAGAATACATTTTCTATTCATACGACTCTATCCTAAAAAATGTTGTCAGCATTAAATAATCCATCGAGGTTGATATGTCAGAAAAAAAATAAACCAAACCAATCTAAAACTAAAGAATACATATTCTATTCATATGAATCTATCCTAAAATGTTGTCGGCATTAAATAACCCATTGAGGTTGATATGCCGTAAAAAAAAATAAACCAAACCAATCAACCAAAGAATACATATTCTATTCATAATGTAATCTATCCTAAAATGTTGTCGGTATTAAATAACCCATTGAGGTTGATATGCCGTAAAAAGAAAAATAAACCAAACCAATCTAAACCAAAGAATACATATTCTATTCATACGAATCTCCTAAAAAGGTTGTGGGCATTAAATAACCCATTGAGGTTGATATGTCGAAAAGAAAATAAACCAAACCAATCTAAAACCAAAGAATACATATTCTATTCATACAAATCTATCCTAAAAATGTTGTCAGCATTAAATAACCCATTGAGTTTGATATGACGTAAAACAAACCAAACTTCCAAGTCCACAAGTTTTTCTGGTTTTTCCCATAAGTTTAACTTTTCTGGAGACTTTGTAAATTGTCATTGAAACAAACATTTTGGCATTTTTTTTCTTTGACTGCTGATTTTTATTCGTTTTGTGATGTCAGCAAACATTCATTGCCACTTTTGTAATACCCATTGTGGTAGAGACTTTGTAATCGCAGATACAGCTATAGTAATATCATTGAACAAAACTGGTGTCGGATGCCTTTGAATAACACTCCCACTAATAGTACTTGCTTGATAATACTTTCTCGAAAACTAACCACTGAATAGTAATCCTTGTAGTGATTAGTATAAAGAACTAATATAGTGAATAGAATAGTGAATAGTATAGAGAATAGCAATCCATATAGTAATAGAGATCCATTAGATGCTATGCTAATTCCCATATATACATTTCCTTTGTGATCACAGTCTTTTCTGTATGTTTATAGGAGCAGTATTTTTCAAGCATCAGAATGTTTCTTAAGGTTTCTAAATAGTGTCTTACGATTGATAGATTTCACAAAGAATAATTTAAGTAAAACTGCCCCCCCCCAATATTGTTTGCTATGTAGAAGTCAAGTGACTTATCTGCTAACATGACTGCCTTCTTGTTTCCTATTGGAAAAGTAAGTCAGCTAATTTTACCTCATTTATAGGAGATTACCTAATGCACTAGTTGGGTTGGTCCATTTTGCTAAAATAGACCAGCCCACACATTTGTAAGAGTGGTCTCTATATATCTTCCCCATTAAATGACTCAGTTCAGTTTGACTTGGGACTACACCATTCTACCTGTGTGTCAGTCCATCGCACCCACACTTACATAAGCCACACCCTGAGTGGTTAGCTGCAGCCCAAAAACATGAAAAGACATTATCCAAATGCAATGCAGGCCTTATCAAGAGGTACAACCATACTGCACATGCCCTATCCCTGCTTCGTAAGGGCGACACAGTCTCCATTCAAAACCCAAATAGCTATCGATGGGACATAGCTGGGTGAATAGTAGAGACACTTCCCAACCGTCAATATAGGATTAGAGTTGCAGGGTCAGGTAGAATAACCCTGCGGAACAGTAGGTTCCTAAGGAAACTCAAAGCGCCCATAATCAACACCCCTATACCAACTGTCTTGCCCGTTTCCCCTGAGTCAATGATTACAAATATGTGTAGACCACATCAATCTGCTAAAGAATTGGGAAATGGTGGCATTATATTGCGAATTGACCTGACATCCCAGGGGCCTACTCAATCGCTGCCATCAAGAACCAGGATTCCCAGGGCGCTATCTTGACTACTCCCACACAATCGGCCAGGCAATAAGGAACTGATTCCTCTCAACAGCCAATATGTTTCCGCAATGGGGAGAGGAGGGAGATGTACAAGTCAAGTGACTTACCTGCTAACATGGCTGCCTTCTTGTGTCCTATTGGAAAAGCAAGCCAACTAATTTTACCTCATTTATAGGAGATTACCTAATACACCAGTTGGGTTGGTCCATTTTGCATGAATGGTCTCTATTCACCCATATATCTCTCCATTAAATGACTCGGATCAGTTTTTACTTGGGACTACACCATTCTACTTGTGTGTCAGATCACTTGCAAGCTAACCAAATTTCTACATGCTACAACTTTTTTGTCCTTAATCAACTGAGGCTTTTGTTTTGTTAATTCAATTAGGCATTTTTTGCAGCAAGATAATGATCCCAACATGTCTAAATGAGTGGCTGCATGGCTTCAGTAAAAGATTACAGTTCCACCATGTCCTTCAAAGAGTCCGGATTTGAATCCTACTGAAAATAAATGGGAAGAATTGAAAGTTTGAATAAATCGTTGTTACTAAAAAACCTTCAGAAATTAGAACATGTAACCATTGAAGAATGGAAGAAAATCACAGAAAAGACTTGTTTAAATCTCATCAAAAATTTTAGAAAACAATTGCAGTCAATGTATTCATGCAGTGTTACAATTTTCATATGGTTTCTTTGAGTAACATCCATTGCAGACAATGAGTTTAGGACAACTAATCAACAATTGAGACAATAGTGTCTGGGCATGATAAAAATCTGATGCAATCAGAGATGACACAATATTTTTCAAGGCCAAACAAATTTCATCATACACCCCAAAAAATAGATTCATATTACTGCAAATGACCGAATCTGAGAAAAAAAACAAAGAAATTGATTACATCCTGTCACCCAGTGTGTCTAAAAACACAAAAAAGGAACCAAAGGAAACTAAAGCAGTTTCAATTAATTTTAACAAGTGTGTGTGTGTATATATATATATATATATATATATATATATATATATATATATATATATATATATATATATATATATCCATCCAAGTATATGATTGCGTATATGGAATAAATTCCTATAATCAACAATTACTGTTCATAAAAGAGTGCTCAATACAGAGTAGAGTGAATATAATTATTTATTTAAAAATTATAACATAAATATGTTATAAAATCACTTCAAAAATAGCTATTTTGTTTCAACACCTCTAGTGTCTTATCAAGTGATGATGTTGAATGTAGATTGTAGAATAGGTGTTGAAACAAAATGGTTATTTTTGTAGTGATTTTATAACATATTTGTTATAATTTTTAAATAAATAATTATATATATATATATATATATAATATAGTTGGGGAGAGAGTGTTGTTGGTGTATAATGTTATTTTTAAAAATAGGTAAAGCAGTTTTTGTCAAGTGGGGAAAAATAAAATGTTATTGAACAGTAAATAAAAGTTACTTATCTTTTTGTTGACTCGCTAGAAAGTTTGATTTGTTTGGATACGCAGTAGTGATTGTCTCTAATGGCAAGAAATGAATCTTCCTTTTCTTCTCTTTTGATGTCTATCTTTTATATATATTTTGTGAGGATGTATTTATCTGTGCATATAAAATATTTATTTTCAAGTGTATGAGTTGTACTAAAATTTAAATAAATTCTTCTAGATGTTTGAAAGATGTCATTTTGCAACATAATAATTTAATATAATTTTTAAATGATATGAAAATTTTTTTATCTTTTATTGCTAACTAAATTCTTTCATCTTAATTGGAAGGTTTAATTAACAATATTTAATAAAAATGAGTTTTATTTTGTTTGAAGTTTGGTCGACTTATAAAATATGTTTTAACGATGTCCCTGTTATAATTTAAGTATATCAAATTTGTTTTATTAAATTTTGATTTATATAATTTTTTGTAATTATTCATGATGAAATAATCAGTACAAATT